CCAAGAAAGCATACATCTTCAGTATAGGAAGCTAGTTGGCCAGCTAGTTCCTTTCATTGAGTTGATTTCATGGTAGGTTGAATGCTAAAACAGGGTTCTTGTGTGGAGAGAAAGATGTGCTGTATATGCTTGGCTTGTCACAGCCACATTATGGCTTAACTGAGCTGTGTGTAATTGGAAAAGGCTGTTTAAAAGCTGGACTGTGAGGAGAAAATGGCACATTTTTCTGTTAATTTGGGAACATCCTGATAAGATTAGATGACTGATGGCGCTTAGGGAACAGAGCTAAATTAAGTGGAAAAACGGAGCGTTCGACGTAAAGTGTAAATCATCTATTTTGTCTGAACTTCAATTCCCATAACTGATCTGATCCTTTTCATTATTCACTACATCTCCATCGCCCCCCCTGTCTCTCTCTCTCATCCGCTCCGCTCTTGGGGTTAGTGTGTGAGTGTGTTTGTTCGTGTGTGTGTGTGTGTGTGTGTGTGTGTGTGTGTGACCCAACGCAGTGTTGTGAACTAATGACCGAGGGCGACCAAACGCCTGCACAAAGGCAGCCTCTGTGCTGCTGCCAGGGCTAAACAACTCGTGGCCAGGCCAAATGACGACATAAAAAATCCACGCACACACATACAGGCATGCACAGAAAGAAAGTCACTACGTTAAATTTTCTGATAAGGGGTTTCGGTTTAAAATCTTATCAGGCAGAAAGATACGAACAGATTGTGAGAAAAAGCCTTCTCGTCCATCATCAATTCTCTGTGACTACACTAACTGGTCAACTGTAAGCTCTGTGTTCCCACCGTGTATTTATTTGTTGCTCTCTGGGTGGAGGTCTGCTCTGTGAAAGCTTGGGAGGTGGACACAGACATTTAAATGTAAACCACAGGCATGTGTGCCAGCACACAAACACAAACACTGGGGACTTTGACAGGGCAGCATTATGCACCACTAGAATAACAATCATCAGTCAATTAGGCTGTGACATGGTCTCTTGATGGTGACACCGGCAGTCCCAGTGGAATACATCAATGACGTTACACGGCAACATAAACACACAAACAACAAACTGTCGCTTGATTTTGACCCTGGAATGGTGAGATGTGAGATACAATAAAATGCAGAAGGTGCAAAGAGATAACATCTGCATTTTTTAATGATGTTTGTAAATGTTTATAAACGGACATTTTACCACAAGTAGCATGACTGCTTTTACCTTACACTGCCTTGTATCACATTTGGTGAAGCTTAAATGTCAGTGTGTAATTCCTATTGTTCTATTGTGGTATTGTATTGTCTAACTTAATTGTATTTTGTCCACAGCCTATAAATAAAGGTTGTGTTAAAAAAAAAAAAAATTACAGTATCAACAATCAGCTCTTTCCAGTTTGATGGAAAGAGCTCTGTGTTGAGGCCTGTATCAAATCTAATCTAATCTAGCATTTGATGTTTAGATTGTTGCTGCTCTGCCCAAGCTGTCATCCTCTCACCATTAAGGATGAGGAAACTGATAGAAGCCAGGGCTCTAGCTCAAGGACACCTCACTGGAACAGATACCAATCAGTTTTAGGAAACACTTAAGCTAATGCAGAGGTGAATTATGTTCTCTTTTGTGACACTCTCCCACTAACGAACTGGCACTCTGCTGCTCTCAGCTTTAAGATTCACATTTTTCAGAACGTTCTTTTCCATGTTGATAAACTTTTTAAATTAAAAATCAAGAACAATGGTTTGGCTTTTCTAACATTTTTTTCTGTTCCACTCGCCTCCCCAGTGTTACTCTCTCCTCCTGCCCATGTTAAAAGCCCCGCTCTGCTTCATTGAAGCCTCATTCAGATGAATAGGCATTAAGCGGCAACTCCCTACCGCGCCCACCTGAGCCTGGCACGGCCACAGTGGGCAAACACCAGGCACCGGGGGCTCCAACCACCTGGCCACAAACATACAGCAGATGGCTTGAATCTGCTCCCGGTGGAGGGCGCAGCTGAGGAATCCTTAGGTGTCTATGTGTAGTATGAAAAAACAAGCACTTTTAATAGATATTGGATTATCGACCAGGATCCTCCCTTTTGTCCTCAGGCCACCTATCGAGTTTGTGTATGTGCTTGCGAGTGTGTGAGGGTCATGGTGGATGCCCTTTTATTGTCAATGCTCAACAGCGCCTTAAAATGCAGAAGTGGCCAAGAGAATCGCCTGAATCACTGAATCAGAGTTTCATTTGGACGTCCATCTGCTGCTTCTTTCTGCACGAACAGCGCTCGTTTAAAAAGGCCGGTAAAAGACAAAACAGGGCAGGCACAGAAGAAGAGAGACACCCAGTGACCGTTGACAGAGCAGACAGATGTAATGAAACAGTCAAAGTGAATGGAGGTCTTTAATCCTAAACATTAAGTACAGGGCGGTCAGACGGCCGCTGCTGTGTCCTTGACCACAGCGGTATCCAGATGACCGCTGGAATTGGTTAATCACACCGGTGGACATCACCTCTGCTCATTACTTCCTGCTCTTCTAGCGCTTTTCCTCTCCATCTGCTTATTCATAATCTATCTCCCTTCCTTTTCCTCTCTCTCTCTCCCCCCTATCTTTGTCCCAACAAACCAGGATTCATTAGTAATAGCATCCTTGGTGTATATAGGTGTGTGTTTGTGTGTTTCCAACAAAGCACAGAGGGACTTCATTAGTGCATTAAATATGTTGTTTGTGCCATCATCTTGTTGCTCTGGACAACCTTGAGCAATAGAGTTGGTTAAAAATAGACTGAGTGTAGCTAACACAGGATTTTTAAGTGCTTTTAGTTCAGCACGGTGACGAATGAAGAGATGCTTCAGGTAAAATATTACTACTAACTATCTCAAAGTGAACACATTCCACGATCCTAATGAGGAAATCATCCATTGATATTCATTATTTATAAATAAAGCCACTTTGTTTGGCTTTGTAAAATCCTTCCCATCTCTCTATCCCAAACAGAAAGGAGAGCTGCTTCCATCTAATCTTCCATCCTGCAAATGTCCTTCCAGTTTCTATAACTCTCTCCCTTCCACATCCTCAGGCGTGGCTACATAAACAGCATTCAACACTTGTGAGGGAAAGTCAAGAGGGACAGTATAAGAATAGGACAACGCTCCACGATAATGGCATCATGGTCTGCAAAAAGCTCTCCCACACAACTGTCAAAATGTGAAAACACACCCTGGTAGACTGTGGTTTAAACATTCTGTTACGTCTATAAGATAATAAGAACACACATAAGAAACACTGACCCTCAATAACTCGTAGAGGAAGAGGTTGAGCGTGTGCCAAATCAGAGAGCAACAGACAGTACTGATTCTGTTCCTTTTTTCAAATTTTTTTTTTTATCTATCACTTTATTACTTCTTTTCTGTCAAATGTTCCACTTGGTTTCCTTCAAAGCAGGATTTAAATTGGCACTGCTGCAAGTCTCTCTGTGAATCTGCGAGTGCCATAATGTCAGCTTTTAGATATTGTTCTTTTCTTTGTTAATTGAATATTTTCCAAGAACAAAATATTTTTGGGGGATTTTTATGCAGTCTGAAACAGAAGGCAGCCAGAAGAATTGTGCAGGCTCTTTGGCTCAGTCGTTTAACATGAACACACACAAACATTTACGCATACAAAAGACACACCTCAACAACCTGCTGCAGCATGGCTTTCCCAGGTGACACAGGCCGAGCACAGATCCCTCAACCGCACAGAGGACATGTGACGACAGCTAAATAAATAAGGGGACTACTGCCAGGCTAAGTGAATGGATGTCACTTTGACAAATGCACAGCCCTGAATCTTAGTCAACATTGCATTGTTTGTTGTCTCTCACTCCTACACACACACACACACACACACACACACACACACACACACACACACACACACACACACACACACACACACACACACACACACACACACACACACACACACACACACACACACACACACACACACACACACACACACACACACACACACACACACACACACACACACACACACACACACACACACACACACACACACGTTCATTGTGAGTGACAAACACACAAAAACACCGTGTGCATACACAAACACGCACTCAGAGTGCACAAACACACAGGCTGATTATACATTCATAATATTGAATGGATGACAGGTCTTGAGCAGTGCGGAGGGAAAGCGGGTGAATTCTAATGAGCTACCATTTACCCCGAGAGCTCTGTCCTCCACAGACTGGATACACACACACTCAAATCACACACAGACTTGCTGCATAGTAACAAATACCTAGTCTTCACACAAACATACCAGTATTACAGAAATGATAATATACGATCCAAAAGCAGTTATGTACAATTTACCATTAAAATCAACAAAAATCTAAAGTTAAAACATGAATTTATTGCTCTTCAAAGTCTGACTCTAAGAGAAGACAAAACTAAAAAACCCTTGAACGCATCAGCTAACTGTCCTGTCAAACCACTCTGTCCTCTATCTGCCCACCTGAATGTCTCCTCACTGCACAGTTGACTGGAGAAGATGCATTCCCGAGTCAGAGCTGATTGATTGATTGAAAGCAAGCTCTTAAAATTAGAGGCGAGGCTCTACGTGGCATTCAGACACAGCAGTAATGTTTTATGACTGACGTGACTTGACTGCCATGACAGTCGACGGCAGAGCAGCCTCAAACTTGCTTTAAATTGCTCGTTAAGCAAACGGGTTTCTAAGAGGTTCTTAAAAATGCTCACTAGTGAGAAAAATGGAGCTGTGTGCATTAAATCTTATTGTAAAAAAAGTTCCTGTAAATGCTTTGTTCACAGCACAAAGATAAAGCTTCAAGCTAGCGTTCAAGTGGACGATGACCACCACTCTCTGAAAGGTGCTCGACATTCAGACCAGCAATAAATTACACTTAATAAGTTGTTTCCTTTCTGTACATCTCCTAAAATTGACAATCACATAACAACTCTGCTTTAACCCACAATTATAAAAATTGAAATTCCTACCTTCTTCAGTTTTCCGTTCCTTGTGCCAACAAAAGCAACAGTGTTGCCGCGGTAGTCGTATGCTGCCACCGAGGTCATGCCATCATCTTTGTCGATGAAGAGCGGGATGCCCTCGATGGTGCTGGTTCCTCCCAGAGGCTGGTTAAAGTCCTGGCCGCAGAAGTTATCGTCGATTTGGAGTGGCTGTAGAAAGGAAAAAGACAACAATCAGGCAAGAGGTACAGTATAAAAGAATTGGCTTATTGTTCAAAAACATGGTTCTGATTGGTGGATGTCATCTGACTATGAACATTTTGTACCTTTACGTCACTTTGAATCAGTACGGTATGTTTATTTGGTATTAGGATGTTGGCACTATAGTCTGGACCTTTTTAAGTACGAAAGTATGAATTTAACTATTCATGCAACTATGTCTCATGATTTTTTTCCCTGATTCAGTTCATCCACAGCATGACTTATTAGAGTTTAAATGATGCCCTCTAAAAGTTTGAAGTATGGAGAGAAGGAGCACTGGGGGAGGGCCTGGGCTGGATCAACTTCCAGACACCAGGCATTTGACTCCATCATTTCCAAAGACACCTCTGAGAACAGCAGCAGAGCCCTGTAAGTCAACTCGTCACAGTGAGAGTACAGACAGGGCTAAAGGTGAATCTTCTTATTTCAACACTTTAATTTCATTACACAACAAGTTAAGCAGCCAATTCAATTATGAGCCATTCATAAACACACCCTTCTTTCTCGTTCTCTGAACTCAATCCCACCATGAAAAACCCTTCAGCAGATTGTTAAGGGTTCAGTCATAGCCCTGACACGGCGCTGAGGCTGGTGACCATGTGACAATATATGCTGCATTCCTACATCATAAGAGGCCCATCGCCCAGGGCAACCCACTGACCCATATGATGCCTTAACCAGTGGCCACACACACACACACACGCAGAGACACACACACATAAGTAGAATCAGTTGCCTGTGGAGTTGGATGAAAGTTCAACAGACATCGAACGTTCTGGTAAATTATCATCACATTTTTAGAGTAAATCTAATAACAGTCTGATTTGATCAGAAATGTTGCTTATAAAAGAATCAATGAAATAATTTTTTGCATTGATGACTTACAGAAAGGTAACACCAATACAGCTACCGTTTGCAAAATATCGAGAATATGATATTGAAGCTTTAGGAAACTGCATTGGATTTTTTTTTTTCCTTCATGGTACTGTAAACTTTTAACTATTACTCCAACAAAAACAAATCTACCAATTAACAGGTAATGTTGTTGTTACTGTATGTCTTGGTTACTGTACCTTTATAAAATATAAAAATTAAATAACATCTACAAGGCTGATTTTCTTAAGAGACCATAAGAGTGTTAGTGGTAGTTTGTAGACAGAGGTATGTTAAACCTGAGCTTGTTGACTGACTGCTTAAGTGCGTAACTAAATGGGCATCAGTGTGTCAACCAGTGGCAGACAATGTGTATTGTGAGTTAGTACACACATACACTTGGAGAGTGTATAAATGGTGGTGTAATCCACTGTCTTATCACTACATCATCTGATTGATCCAAACATGAGAAAAGATAACACACGCCCTCCCTCCCTCACTCGCTCGCTCCCTCCCAATCTGCCTAAACTGCCTGCAGCTCAGCACATGTCAATAATCGTTTTTTTTCCTTCTACTTTTTTACTCCCTGTCTCCGTCTCCTTCAAGTGGCTACAGTAACCGAGCAAACATCAATATCCCCTCCCTGTCCTTTTCTACCTCCATCCAACCGTCCCTTCTCACCTAATCGCTCTGCATCTCCCTATTAACCCATCTCTCCTCTGCAAAGTCTCCCTCCACAGCTTGTCCTCTTTCCGCCACTCACACACCTTTTTGGACTTGTGTTATGTCCTCAAACACCGTGCAGAGGTATGGGTGCATGTCCTAGACTGTATGAAACATGGACGTAGTCTCAGTGATATCACCCATTCATTTCTGAGGCGCACTTTTGAAGCCCAGTGATAGTCGTCGCTGTATTGAAAATACAGACTCAAACAAATTTTTTGGTCAACCTAGTAATAGAAAAAGAGCTGGAGCTTATGCGGCCTTAAACCCCCCAGCTAACAGTTATAACACATCCGTCCGTTAGTCAGATCAGCCACGCCCCTAATTAAGCATAATTTCATTTAATTTCTTTAAATCAAACTCAATATATCAAAATGCATGCATACAGTTTTTGCTGGTAAAGGTATGAGCTATTCAGACCAAATGAGTTTTTTTAACAAGGTTGTAAAAATGTTTATTTCTGAATTGGGTGCGTTTGAGACTCTTTGCAGCCAGCCTTTAAGTGAACACCTGAGGAACTGCATTTTTTTAACAATTCATGCGTTTGCTTCATTTTCATCCCTGGAGGTTGCTGTTAGTTGGGTGTGTGTAGGGTGGGGTAGGGCTATCAACTGAAGTCAACAAAGCGCTTGCTCTGTCTTGCTCTCTATTTGTTCCTCAGGACTGTGAAGCCACATGGTGAAAGCAAAGAAAAAAGAAGACACTTCAATTAAAGCTTCTATGTGTGTGTTTGTTTTTTTGTTAGTGTGTCTGCGTGTACGTAAAAGTAACGGAGACACACACAGCCATTACCTGAAACAACTTTCTTTTGTGACCAGTAATAGCTAGGGGGCCATTTCTTTTCTTGAACAAAGACGACTGACAGACAACACACACTGACAAACACACATGAAATCTTGTCAACTCTATGCACAACATACGCACACAAATACACACATTCAGCCAACCTAGCTAGTTTATTGTCTGTGTCCACAGTTTTGGTTACAAGCAACAAAACATATGCGTCCATGTTCTTCATATGGCACACATCTAGGGTCAACTATTTGAAACCATATAGTCCTGGGATAAAATCTATCAATATGGATTAACGGGCAGCGTCTAACGCACACACAAGCAATCCCATGACGTCAGGGCCTCAGGGAAACAAGTTAAAAGGGTTAATCCATCTTCTATGGACGAGACTAACAGTCGAAAATAGTGTATACAGTATCCCCTAGAGTCTGTAAGGGTTAACATAGAGTAGTACACACACACAATGCACACAAAATCACACACAGCAGCCTGTATAGGTCCCAGTGGGGCACTGGAGGGTAAAGGTGCTATTGCATTCCTGCAGGTCTGGAGGGTTTAAACAGCATGGATCAGCATGGAATAACAGGCGTTTCCCATGAGGTTGGAAAACATTTTAATGGAGGCTACATTCTGATGTGGGCTCTGCAATTTGAGGCACTAAAAAGATTCCCACGTGAGCTGGGGCTGATATTCAGTATGGAAAGAATATTTCCCCCTGTGGTCTCTGCAGGGTTACCGGCTGGAGACTGCCTAAAATGTCCTGAAGGGGTTTCAAAGACACACAACTCTACGGGGGGAAAGAGTTAAGAGGACAACCTTCCAGTGACTTTGGTAAAGGGTCTAAGACATTTAAAAGAAAAGAGGTTTCTTGTTTTGATTTCTTAATTATTTTTCTTTTCAATAAAAACAGGAAGTGTAATTTGAGTGAAACAAAAACCATAGGAGTATTCTCTTTAAGAAGAAATAGTCATGTGCAGAATCTGTTGGCAAACGATATTTTTGGTGTTGGAGCTATTCTGATGTCTGAACGATTGTGTTTGAGCAGATTGTTCTTGTATGAAGGAAAACTGTCCTTGAGGAGAGCCAAAGAGGTGAACCACATTGGCTGAAATGCAATCTCAGAACCCAGCAGCTATCGTCTGACAAGGACTTAGCTTTTTATTTATCTGTGAAAACAGATATCTATACTAGACTTCCGGTCATGATGCCATCTCTTTGTACCAACTAGTCCCAGGGGCCGATTCAAGGGGTTGGCCAAGAGATCCCCCCCACCCACCCCCAGATGTTACCCCAAAATCCTAAAGTATGATAGGCTATTTGCATTGTCAGAGGCAGGAGTCTGAAATCCACTATTTCAGCTGTGTTACAGAATTTACATGTTGCCCCACCGTTGTGTTAAAAACAATTACCATCTATCCTATAGTTTAATGTTAGTAGTTAAAGTATATATGATAGGTGGAGGCAGAAAGTGTAAATAAATGCTATGCATCAGTGTGTCTGTACAAACTAACTTAAAAAGACTCAAGTCAGAGCCCCATTGGGCCACCCCAAATAAAAATGTAAGGACACACCCTGCCAAGGCCTCGTTCTAAAGTGATCTGAGAAGATGTCACCAGTTAAAAGTTGCGGTAGTAGTTGATTTCAAAAGAGCTGTAGTTTCATATTTTTGACAATCTATTAAGTATTACACAGATAATAATTGCTGTCATACACCCAGACTGAAAGGGTTAATAAACAGGCTCAGTGTGCAGCATTATTCTTGTGGTGTGTATATACAGCACATGAGCTGTCAACTGATATTCAAGGTCACAGAGAAATATATGACAAAGATACTGCTGAGACTATATGGCATTGCACACAAAGACAAACACACATACACACAAACACCCGGACACATACACACACACTGAATGTTTTGTCAGAAAACAGCCATAACTGTGTTGCTCCCCCCTGGGTGGGGTTGCTTCACCCATTTCTCACACTGAATTACAATAAAATATAGTCATTCATATGGCACCAAACACGAGTGCGTACTCAACTCAGCCCACAATAACACTGACTAATTGCAGATGTGCGCTGGCTGGCCTGCATCGACTAAAGGGAAATGGTTGGATAATCATTTCCCTATGATTGCTATTTCTTTAACTTATTACATCAAGAAAATATGTTCAGGCAGGCGGGTGCACATTATGCCGACCTCAAGTGGAATTGGTCAATAGTAAGCTCCATTCAGTGAAACATGTGGAAACAGCAGAATACAATATGGGCTTATGTATAGGAACATACATGGTGCTGTTGACTGAACGTACTGCAGTGAATTATGGCTGGTAAATTGGAAAGAAAACATGGATTGGAACCCAAAAACATTCATCTATGTGCATTAACTGGGCAGCATGCAAACAGGCGTGTGTTTCTATACTTAAAATCTGTTTGTACAGAGAAAACGGCACAACATATATGTGTTTTTGTATGACAGAGCTGGAAAAGAGAGAGAGGAACAAAGGACAGAGAGAAAGTAGTGACTGTTTTTAATGCTGACAGCATGTTTTTGTGACAAGCCT